GCTGGGAGAGAAGGCAGGTCCTGTTAAGTTAGGAAACAAGGAGGTTCCTCTCCCAGGACAAGTCTTTCTCTGCCTGCCATAGCATGCCTCTACTTCTAAGAAATTGCTGACCACAAAGATGGCTTTCATATTACTTCCCCTTCCTTTATTGAATTTGGGCATTCATTCAATAAATATTTATTAACTGCTTGCTATATGCCAAGTACCATTCTAGGTGCTAGGAGATCCAGTGATGAACAAAATACACAAGGTCCCTGCTTTTATAGAGTTTACATTCTGGTAGAGAAGACAAGAAACCAGTAATGAAATTAGTAAAGAACATAATTTTAGGTAGTGGTGAGTGCTGTGATGACGTTAATAAAGGATGATGTGATGAGAGAGACTGGGAGGGGGTTTTAACTAGGATGGTCATGGAGGTCCTCTCTGGGAAGTAACATTTGAACTAACTTGAATGACAAAAAAGTCAGCTGGCAGCTAATTTGGGGAAGAACTCTCCAGGCAGAGAAAGCAACAAATGCAAAGACCTTGGGATTGAAAGGGACAGATGTGCTGGGAGTTAGTAAGAAGGTCAGTAAGGGCAGAAAGTAGGAGGGTAGCAGGATCAGTGGGCAGTGAGGCATTGGCATTGGGTTCAAGGAAAGGAGCTGGGATTTACTCTGAACATGATGGTAAACCACTGCCTCTGGGGGAGGGGAGGGAGTGTGGTGAGCAGGTGGCTGACATGACTGATGTGGGTGCTGTGTATAGAATAGGGAGGCAAAGATGGATGCAGTGAGACCCATTATTGCAGTAACCCAGCAACAAGATAACGGCAGTTCAAACATGGCAAAAAATAGTTGCATTTCTGAAATATAACAAAGGAAGAGTCACAGGATTTACTGTTGGATTAAATGTAGCATGGGAAGGAAATAGAGAAATCAATGACTGCTAGGCTTTAGTCTGAGGATCTAGCTAGTAGCATTTCCCGAGATGAGGAAAATGGGGAGAAGACAGTGTGAGGGGAACCAAGAAGTTGATATGCAATGTGAGGTGAAGATGGTGGCTAGGCAGTTGATTATAGGAATATGGAGTTCAGGGAAGAGGTCTAGTCTCAATAGAAAGATTTTGGAGTCCAGAATGTAGGTAGTATTTAAAGCCTGAATGAGATAATCTAGGATATGGTAGCCACTAACCACATGTGTTTATAGAGCACTTGAAATGTGGCTAGCCCAAATTGAGATGTACTATATGTTTAAAATGCAACCCAGATTTCAAAGACTTAATAAGGATGTAGTAAAATATTTCACTTCTATTATTTCTATAATGATTATATGTTGAAATGACAATTTGGTTTTATTGAGTTAAATAAAATATTAAGAGTAACATCACCTGCTTCTTTTTGCTATTAGAAAATTTAAAATTACAAATGATGTGGCTCATAGTAACATTTTAATACAATGACATGGATCTAGGAAGTGACTGTAGATAAATTAGAGGTAAGGCTCAGGTCAGAACCCTCTGGAGCTACAACATTTTAAATTCAGTGGAGGAGAAAGAGCAAAGGAGATTAAGAAAGAACAGCCAATGAGGAAAATTAGAGGAGTGCTGTTCACGATAAGGCAAGTGATACAATTATTCAAAAGGAGGGGGTGTCCTGCTGCTGTGATGTCAAATAAGTGTCCATTGAATTTAACAAGGGCAGTTTTGGTGAGGTGGTTTGTAAACCATTCGGTCTGGAAGCCTGATTGGAGAGAGCACATGAGAATAAGTGAAGACATAAATATAGTAAGTACAGATAATTATTTAAAGAGATGCAGAGAAATGGAATGGTAACAGGAAAAGGATTTCCCATCGAGGGGAGGTTTGTGTTTTGTTGTAGTTGTTGGTTGGTTTGTTTAGAAGGGGAGATAGGTCAGCTGATGATGGTGCTGTCTTCGGGACCTTAGAAATCAGTTGGGAAAATAAGGCAAGTGTGTCAAATTTTTTTGAGAAAGTCTAAAATGAGATGATAGTTAAACTGAGTTATTCTATTAGTACTTCTAGGGATTCAGATGCTGCCAAGATGCCCCCTTTCTTTTTTCTCCCTTTAGTCTTCCATATGGGGGGGGGCAAAAGTAGGTTTTTGGTTGTATGAGAAACAGTTTATTCTTGTATAAGTAGTCATTAATTATTGCATTATTTTCCATATGAATAACAGCAAACCTACTTTCCCCCCACCCTATATAGTTTCTCTTTGGTTGTTGTTTCCCTTTCTTTTACTCCTGACAGTGGTGGATCAAGGACAATGATAGTCTGCTGTGGTCTGGTATTTAGGAAAACAAGCTGCTTTTTTCATGTACTTCTCTAAAGCTCAGAGATAGTTTATTTCCCTAGTGTCTGAAAAGTCTTCCTTAACTCTTACCATTTACAGCAGCATGGAGGGACCTGGAGAGCATTGTGCTAAGTGAAATAAGCCAGGCAGAGAAAGATAAGTATTATACCACATGATCTCACTCATATGTGGAATCTAATGAATAAAATGAACTGATGAATTAAATAGATCCAGAGACAGAGAATCATGGAACAGATTAACAATTGTTAGATGCAAGATGGTGGTGAAGGGTTGGGGGTGGAGAGATTAACCAGGGAATTTATATGCGTGTATGCATAGCCCATGGAGACAAACAATAGTATGGTGAAGGCCTGGGAGGGGCAGGGGGAGTGGAGGGGGTCAATGGGAAAAAACAAGGAGGACATCTGTAATATTTTTTTTTCTTTTTACATTTTTTATTAAATTATTATCTGTGTACATATTTTAACATTGCCTCCCCCTCCCATACATGCCCTCCCTCCTCAGAGTTTTGTGTCCATTGGTTGTACTTATATGCGTGTATACAAGTCCTTCGGTTGATCTATTATCTCCCCCAGATCTCTCTACCCTCCCCCCTGTAATTTGACAGTCTGCTTGCTGCTTTACTGTCTCTATATCTATCTTTTGGTTCATCATCTGCATTATTTTTCAACAATAAAGATAAATTTAAAAAAATAAAAAAAATAGTTCTGAAAAAATAAAAATAAAAAGCCTTTCTTAGTGGCAGGGGTGAGGTGCTGCCATATTTATTAAGAAGGTCCAGAAACTCACCAGTGATGATCCAAGCAACTTTTCTGTCCTTCTTCTGAATTGCCCTACCCCTTTGCTTCTTCCAGATGTCCAGATGGAATGTGTGTGTATGTGTGTGCATGTATGTGTGTGTAAACTAGTGAGCACTGTGTAGGCCTGGGGCTTAGCATCTTCAGGCAGAATTGTGAGATTGGCTGATGATAGTGTTTGAGTGACTTGAACAAAGTGTCAACATCAGCCAAAGCTCACCAGGAACACACCTGTTGTTGAACAAGTTGGGTTTATTTTTCATTGCAGCGAGAAATAATGTACACCATAGGACTTTTTTCATTGAGAGAGTCTGAAGCCATCCTGACAATAGGGCCCTGCCAGCTCTCACTGATGTTTGGAAAGCCTTTGCTTTTCAACCCCAAGGCCTCAGTCACTCATGCTGGGTGACCTCTCAAGTTCACCTTAACCTCAGAACCTGTGATCACCCCTCTCTACTCCCAGAGGTGTATAAGGGGCTTATGGTTATAAACAGCAGAGATGGGCCTCAAGCCCATCCAAGAAGCTGCAAGAATAGCCTGGGAGCAGAGAAAATCTGGAGAGGGGCACCCCAGAACATACTTAACTCCACTTAATGCCACTTGCCTCTCTACAGCCCTCTTGCTGTGTGTATGGATACAGCATACTTTCTCTGGGTTATGGTGTCCATCATATACCCCTGCCCAAAACTCCCATAAAAATGTCAGCATTGATTTATAAAAGTTTGAATAACAACTGACATGCTACCCTAGACCTATCATTCCTAGCTTTTGCTAGAAGGCTAGATTGAGTTCAAAATTCACAGTTGACTCTCAATTGATTATCTGCACTAATGGAAAAGAGCATAAGGAAAGATAATTCTCCCACAACATGGAATCAGTAGAGGTGGAATTTTTCTTTTGGTGGTCACTCTGATTGTTTCCCACTTTTGGCTGTGTAAAACAATGCTGTGATAAGTATCCTTGCATGTATATTTTTGTATACAAGTATGAGTATATCCACAGGGTAAAGTTCTAGCAGTGATGCTACTGAATCAAAAGGTATGTGTATTATTTTTTATTTTGATGCTGTAAAATTGTTCTTTACAGAGCAATTCACATTCCATGATGTATGAGAGTGTCTATTCTTCACATTCATTCAGCAATGGAACATGGTCAAAATTGAATTTGACAACCTGAAAGGGGAAAATGTTAGGTTGATATATATATTTTAAATATGATTGTATTGAGAGAGAGAGAGAGAGAAAGAGAGAGAGAGAGAGAGAGAGAGAGAGAGAGAGAGAGAGAGAGAGAGAAATATTGATGTGAGAGAAAAACATCAATTGGTTGCCTCCCAATTGGGGCCAGGATTGAACCTGCAACCCAGATATGTGCCCTTGAATGGGAATAGAACCTGAGACCCTTTGGTGCACACACAGGTCTATGATCTAACCATTGAGCACATTGGCCAGGGCTAGTTCAAGTTTTTACATTTATCTTTTTGGGGGGGTGGTTAATAGCTTTATTGAGATATAATTCACATACTATACAATTAATCCACTTAAGGTATAAGAATCAATGCATTTTAATATATTCAAAGATTTGTGTAACCATCATGACAACTGATTTTAGGACATTTTCACCACCACAAAAAACAAAAAAACAAAAAAACAAAAAACAAAAGAAAACCAGTTTGCCCTGGCTAGGTAGTTCAGTTGTATATTACACATTTTTCTGATCTGACAAAAAATAGGTATAATTTTAATTGATTTACAACAAAATAATAATAAGTATCTACCTTTTTTGCTCCAAAGTGGCTTTAAAAAATAAGGTACCTATACTTGTATATAAGGATTTCTGGTACCAAGAATTAACCAATCAGACCCAACCCTATATTTTACTTTAGTGATCCTACTATGGATGCATCACTAAGGGAAGTTTCTGCCAAACTGGAAGTTCTGGAGGCCAATGATGAGGGTAAGTAACCCAATAAAATCTTGATAACTAGAACTAGATTTGTTTACTATGTTTAACAACTCTAGAAAAGAAAATCAAGTCACAAGCAAACAAATTCATATCAAATTTCTAACATTGGCTCAGTCCATATTTACTCTTTAGTCTTTTAACCTCTTCATTTTCATTTCCAATCTGATACTCAAAAGTTTGCCTGAGGCCCTGCAATCTTATTTGGGGATGGTTAATAGGTTCTACTTACTAAGGCAGGAGAAGTATTTCTGTTTAATCGGGAAAAAAATCAGAGCAGCCCATGATCAGAGAGATTCAACTGAGGTTTTAATATAGTTGGTAACCCAGATTTAACCAAGTGTAAATGGGGCATGGAAAGAAAAGATGCCACCATAGGCTTCTGTTAAATAGGATTCAATTAACACTTTTATTGTTGCAAAACTTACTCAACTATTTATAATTGCCTAAATTATGGTGCAAACTATGAGTGATGGGTGTCCATGAGTGACAGAAAGGGAAGCAAAAGTCACTAAACAATGATAAGCTTTATTTTTATAAAAAAGGAAAAAGAGGAATCTAAGACATGAAATGAGATACTGAACTTAATTAACCGGGGAGTTCCCTTTTTAATTACGCAACCTGTAATGGGCGCGTACTCTTTCACTAGGACGTGTCAGTACGTCACGCCCGGAGGACGTAATTTCATATTATTATTATTTTTTTATACTTTATTAAAATAAATGATATATATATTTTCATTTTTTATATATAAAATACAAAGGAAAATACAAAATTAAAAAAAAATAGAAAAGAATAACAACAAAAAATGGAAACATCGAATTAAAAAATTATAAATTTTACAAACAATTATAAAGATTATAAAAAATATATACCGTCTCTCTCAGGGCGCAACACATATTTCCAGTACGTATTCATACGTCCTACTCGTTCCTGATATTGTTTACATTTGACGTATTTATAGGTCCCACTTGGTTAACAGGTTAAAGACAAAACTGATTTTAACAACTCACTGAGTTGTTCTCAATTTTTGCTGCACTTTCTTAGTAGTGTATGGTGTAGAAGGCCTTGGTATGGAAGGACAGAGAGAGGGGAACCTTTTGAAGGCTTCCTGGAGGCCTGACTTCACTGATGATGTGGGGTGGAGGATACTGGGCATGGTGCATGGATCTTTGAGGAGAGAGTTTGGGTATTCATTTCTGTGTCACCATTGTTTAGTATTGGGCCTCAGAGAGAGTGATTAGACACTCAAAATATATACCAAATGAAATAAATACATGAATGATAGGCCCCCTCACTTATGCAGCCCAAGCACTAGACCAACTGATCTATCTTTTTGTATATGAGCTAGACATAGGCCTACAAAAGAAGATGGCAATGCAATGCAGCTTGGTAAAGAATGAAGGCAAGGAAATGCCCAAGATTTTTTGTTCTTAATCCTCACCTGAGGATATCCTTCCATTGATTTTTAGAGAGAGTGGAAAGGAGAGAAACATCGCTATGAGAGAAACATTAATATGAGAGAGATACATTGGTTGGTTGCTTTCTGCATGCACCCCCACCAGTGCCAGGGATTGAGCTTGCAACCGAGGTACGTGCTCTTGACCTGATTCAAACCTGGGACCCTTCAGTCTGAGTGACTATGCTCTGGAGAAAAACCAGCCGGGGCCCTAAGATTTTTATTTTTAAGTCTAAACATTTGGGTACATTTTTAGTATTAGTCATTGCTAGCCAGAGTATAAGGTGGTTATTGGGAGGTTGAAGGGAAGGAAAGCTAGTTAGAAATGTTTTCTTTCCAAGCAGCAGTGCAAGAGAACAAGGTTACCATTATGTGATGCATTTTTAAAGCTAAGTTCAACTTAGATGAGCTGCCTATGTACATGGTGGGTAAGCAAATATACAATCTAGCAGCAATGATTCCATCATTGGATTTAATGGTGTTTTCTTCTCTGGGGGGGGGGGTAAACCTTACTGCCATGGGCCATTTTCTGGCATGTGACACACTGCAGGCCCTCATTGGATGAGGATTTTGAAAGCTACTGCCTGTTTGAGAATACATAGTCCTTAGGCTTGGATAGGGAAATGAATGGCTCGGTTATAGAAGTCCAGATATCTGTCAGCTCTCAGTTGTCAGCTCACTGACCCACCACTGCTGTACCTTATGGAGCATAAAGTACCCAGTGTATAGGTGACCTACATAAACATTGCTGGATACAAGTGTGAGTTTTGACCCAAATCTGCTGTATAGGTTTATCTACCATTACACTTTTAGCAAATCTTAAAACCAACCCTCACAGGACTCAGCTGCTGGCAATTTAAAGGCATCCCCTTACAAAGAAAGCTTGAAAGGCCAATTTATACACTTGAATACATGACAACTATCTTGGATTCCATTAAGGGTTCAAAAGTAACATTGCATTTGGACAGTTCCCAGCTCACACCCAGGACTCGTCTCCATACATGGAGTCTGATGTAGTTCATGATGGGGAGGTCTCCTAATCCAGAGAAGGCTTAAGACTTGGCATCTTGCAGCTTGCCTTGCACTGTGATATTTGTTAAAGAGATTTTAAAGAGGACCTGCCTACAACCTTGATGAGGGGACAGTAGCTAAGATTTAGAACTATATCTTATTCCTTTCATATGATACCCAAAATGTAGTAAGTACTTGATCTTAATAAATATTTGTGGAATAGATGAATGGACTAATTAGTGTGCAGACTAGAGAACATTCAGATACAAATGCTCTTTTAGTGCTAACACTCAAGTTTTAGGTATGCAGAGAGAAGGGTGAAATTGAGAGAAAAGTGAAAGCCTAGTGAGTTAGGCCCAAACACCACACAGAAGCTGGGGCCTGAGCTTCTGCACTTACCAGCAAATCAGATACTTTGTCACACCAAAAAGTTGCCAGGTCCATTCCAGGTCAGAGCACATGCCTGAGTTTCGGGCTCAATCCTCAGTAGGGGGTGTGCAGGAAGCAACCTATCTGTTTCTCTCTCTCCCTCTCCCTTCCTCTCTCTAAAATCAATTTAAAAACATATATATATATATATTTTTTTTTTAAAAAAAGAACAAACCACCCCTGACTGATTTGGCTCAGGAAATAGAGTGTTGGCCTTCAAACTGAAAGGTCCCAGGTTCGATTCCAGTCAAGAGCATGTACCTTGGTTGCAGGCACATTTCTAGTAGGAGATGAAGGAGGCAGCTGATCGATATTTCTACTTCTCTATCCCTCTCCTTTCCTCTCTGTAAAAAATCAATAAAATATATTTTAAAATAAAAAATAAAAAAACAGAACAAATCAAATGAATGGTGCTGTGGTCCCTGGTAGCAAAAGCTAAGATCTGCCAGGCACCTGGGATCATAGTCCTTCTTCATATCACAGAGACCCTATTTTCTCTCTTGTCTTCCCTTCCACCATCACACTATGTATCACTTTCATTCCTAACTTCCTAGGAAAGAAGAAATCTAAATTTAAAGCCTTCAAGAATTTTTTTGGCAAGAAGAAGAAAAAAGAGCCTGAAGGTATCCAGAGAAGAAGCAGCAGCCTGAAACCAAGCTCGTCCAACAGCAGTATCAACGACTCTTCTCTGAATCTGGTTCAGGAAGTTCAACAACCTACATTTAGGTAATCTCTGGGGGGACTGGTGTGAGGGGGTTAGAGGGGGATGGGGGCAGGGTAAGGGGCAGATTGCTAGGTCCCCCTTTGGTAGCCAATCACGGATGGGCCTTTGGTTCCAAGGACTTTTGGCCTCCATGACTGTGGAGGCTGGGTCGATGACCATTGTCAATGCAGCCATTTCCCAGTCCCCTTTCTCTGTGATCATGTGTAGACTTGTCCTCTGAGCTGCACAGCTTAATGTTTTGGAACATGGTAAATGCACACCCCATTCCCTAAGAGCTCTCGGTGGAGGGTGCATTGATCAAGGAAACTCTCCCCTGTCATAGCTACAACTTGAGAAATGGGGTCTACCACATGAGCTGTAGGCCTCTGTTTTATAAGGTAATAATAGTCTACATTATTCAGGAAGCTTGGTCTTGTTTGCTTACCTGGCCCTCAGACTGCAGATCTGTGATTACTGGGTGAGGGGAGCTAGATCTCAGAATGTGTGAATAAAGTATCAGTGAAGCCATCTAGCTGAGTTGGGGGTATAAGTGTGAAGTCACTATATTAATGTAAAAATGAACAAATAAATAAGCAAGCAAACAAAGAACCCAAATCCATTTCTCCCTCTATCCCAGGAGACTAGGGGAAATGTTACAACTGTTCACAAAGGGATGGGGAAAATTGTTTCTGCCCCTGCCACCCCTATTCAAAGTTTCATCTGTGATGCCCCATTTTCCACATCATATTGTGGAAAATCTGGATACCCAGTACCACCAGCTGTTCCTAGTTCAATTGGATCCCCCTCTATGGAGTTCCACTTGGGCCTGTTCTCCTGACCTTAAACTCTAGACTTATATGAACTCCCCACAGAGCTCACCTGTGCTGCTTCTCATTCTCTTAAGGCTTTGCTTAATGGTGATGGGACAGTTACCAAACATGTTATACTGCCCCATAACAGTTAGCAAATAAATATCCTTAAGAGGACCTTAATGAGTGCAATGAATATGAAGAATTTCAGATAGCTTTGCTAATGGTAGAGATGGTTTTGGACAGGGGCTTGTTTCATACCTCACAAATGATACCATTATAGACCATGGCTTTATAGCTCCAAATAAGGCTAAGACAAGCCCTGCTAAAAACAGAAGGGGGTGGGGTTGGGAGGGAGATTTGGGTTGACTCTATGCTGTCTCTACAGATTGGCAAGGGCTGTCTCCACTAAAATTGTATATTTCCCGCACCGAAACCAATTTGGTTCAGTGGATAGAGCGTTGGCCTGCAGATTGAAAGGTCCCAGGTTCGATTCCAGTCAAAGGCATGTACCTTGGTTGCCGGCACATCCCCAGTAGGGGGTGTGCAGGAGGCAGCTGATCGATGTTTCTAACTCTCTATTCCTCTCCCTTCCTAGCTGTAAAATTGTATATTTCTCCTTCTTACTTGCCCCTCCCCCTCCAAAATGGTCCATTTAGTCTGCCACATTCTCCACACTAAGGTGTGTGCAGGTGCATTGCTCTGAGGTGGGTGGGGAAAGGAGGGAAGGAGAAAAAGTAAGAATGAGAGGGAAAGGGAGTGCATATAAGTGCATGAGTGAGCTCATACACGAGTTAGAGCACTTTTCTAAGGAACTGAGATAGATCTTTATTTTGTAAGGAGCATAAATTAATTGAGTATAACATGGGATGTCTGAGGATCACTCCTGACCCCAGTTTCTTGCTTAAATGTTATGTGAATTTTCCTCAACTATAGTCTACATATTGAAATCCAAGAGTCACTTGCTTGTAAACAATGTTGGGTGAATGATTAACATGTGATTACACAGTATCTCCAGCAGTAATTAGTTCTGTTGTCACATGATGTGACTTTCTGCAGCAGTTATAATGCATGCAGATGTTCCACAGATGCTAAGCCACACCCCAGCCTTGTGCATTTGTTAATCGCAGTGACTGGTGATTGCACACATTTACTAGGCCTATTCAGTATAAATTTAAAATTATGGTAATACATATAGAAAACTTTTCTGTGAAATTAAAATTTTTATACATTCATAATTTTAATTACACAAACATGTCTACATAAGAAAACCAGGTAAATTAATTTTTTAATTTTTAACATATGCATTTGGAAAACCTAACTTTGTAATATAACAGACTTTATTCTTTAATGGACATCCCTTTGCTTGAATTAGTCCATTATATTGAGGTTTTACTGTAATTTTTATGAAATCCATTTATTTTTTCTTTTGTCGCTTAATCTTTTTTGTCATACCTAAGACATTGCCAAATTCAGGTCATGAACATATACCCCTATGCTTTCTTCTAAGTGTTTAAGTCTCATATTTAGGTTTTTGACCAATATTGAGTTAGTTTTTATATCAAGGTGTCCAAAAATGTATATACATTTTGAATAATTATAAAGTCAGTGTTTATGAACATACAGTTCATTAAAAATTTTAAAACTATCTATAGAAATGAATAAGTTCTTTTGTCAATGTCTGTTTTCAAACAGATTACTGTTTTGGTCCAGGCACTACTGATAATGAAGCAATGGAATCTCAAACATCAGGAATCATTTTGTTCAGTATTTGTGTGCACTCAATTCATTGACTGTTGCCAGTTTTTTAATGTAAACTGTATTTTTTATGAATCCCTATAAAAAAAAAGTCTAATGGCACTTTAGGATGAATTTTCTTTGTTCAAAACTTAATATGGCTTTACCCATTATTTAAAATCAGTTAAACCTGAAGAAGAGTGAAAATTAAGTGAGTTATCAGCTGTTCAAATGTGTATACATTTTGGGGGGATACCTTATATATTGTGAGATAAGAGTCCAACTTTATTCTTTTGCACGTGGATATCCAGGTGTCCCAGCAAAGTATTATTTCCCCCACTGAATGGTCTTAGCACCTTTAAAAAAAAAAATTAGTAACCAGAGGTGAGTGAGTTTATTTATGGATTCTCAGTTCTATTCCATTGATCTATGTCTATTCTTAGGCCAGTGCCAAACTGTAGCTTTGTAGTCAGTTTTGACAGTGGTAAATGTGAGTTTCAAATTTCTTCTTTTTCAAGATTGTTTTGGCTATTTTTGTTCTCTTGCATTTCACTGTGAATTTTAAGATCAGCTTGTTCATTTCTGCAAAAAAAATTTTTTTAAAGGTAGCTGAAATTTCATTTAATATCTCATGAACAACTTTCTGTGTTAGCATTTATGCATCTTCACACTCCTTCTGTGATGTCTTTTATAGGCCATACTAGAGGCCTGGTACTCGAAATTCATGCATGGGGTGGGAGTGGGGATTGGGGAGGGGATGTTTCTTAGCTTCACCCTCTCCAATCTGTGACCCCTCGAGGGATATCCCTCTCACAACCCAGGACTGCTGGCTCCCAACTGCTCACCTGCCTGCCTTCCTGATTGCCCCTAACCGTTTCTACCTGCCTGCCTGATCACCACCTAACCACTCCCCTGCCAGCCTGATTGATGTCTAACTGCTCCCCTGCCAACCTGTTTGCCCTCAACTGCCCTCCTCTGCTGGCCTGGTCACTCCTAACTGCCCTCCCGGGCAGGCTTGATTGCCCCCAACTGCCCTCCCTTGCAGGCCTTCTTGTGGTGGCCATTTTGTGTCCACATGGGGGCAGGATCTTTGACCACGTGGAGGCAGCTATCTTAATCTTGTGTGTTGAAATGATGGTCAATCTGCATATTACTCTTTTATTAGATAGGATAGAGGCCTGGTGCATGGGTGGGGACCAGCTGGTTTGCCCTGAAGGGTGTCCCGGCTCAGGGTGGGGGTTCCCTTGGGGCATGGGGCAGCCTGGGTGAGGTTCCTGTGGTGGTTTGCAGGCAAGCCATGACTCCATCCCCTCACAACCCAAGTGGAGGCCCTGGTATTTGGGATATATTTATCTTTTACAATTGAAATTTTGTAGCCTGCAGTGGAGGCCTAGACTAGCCAGGGTAGGTGGAAAGCTTGGCTTCCTCTGTTGCCATGGAAACCCAAGCCTCCCTCCTGGTCTCTGTGAAGGCAGCCATCTTGGTTGGGGTTAACTTGCATACCTGCTCTGATTGGCTGGTGGGCGCGGCTGGTGGGTGTAGCAGAGTGATAGTTAATTTGCATATTACTCTTTCATTAGGTAGGATTATAGATATATATATGTCTTTGGTTCCTATGGCCCTTGGGCTGCTTTTACAAGACTGTTTCCTTTTTTTTCTAGTGTCAGGAGAAGCATGAGCAAATCCCTGTCCCATGAAAGCATCTTCATGTTGGAGTCTGAGCCTGAAAGCCCAGGACGTAAAATATATCCCTCTCCAGAGCTCCAGAGTGTCAGATCTTTGGAGGTAATATTATACTTGACTTGAATATTAATGCCTATTTGGACTACTCTTCCTCCATTTTCTATTCTTACCCCACCACAAAAAGGAGGGAAGAATTTGGCCCTACTTCTCTGCTGATTATACCCCCATAGGGCTCTTGTAAATATTGAATGAGAGAATGTACTTTATATGATTTGCTTACCTAGTGCCTGGCACATAGTATTGACTAGTGTTACCATATCCACTCCTTTGACACACCCAAAAATTTAAGTATTATGACAGTGACATTTCACTGTTAATGTGCAAGTATTCCAACCTCCATGTTTTTTCTTTCTTCCACAGAGATCTGTTTCCAGAACTCTGTCTATCACTAGCAGTGTACATAGATCTGTTTCTGGATCTCTGCTTGGAGTTATGCCCCATTACGTGCAACGAAGTGGAATCTGGATTGGAGGCTCCAAGATCACTGAGGTAATAGGGTAGAATTGTTCAAAGTATGGCATCTGAGTCAAATAGACATACTTGAATTCTTGATCTGCTACCTATTGGCTCTGTAACCTTGGACTGATTGCTTAACTTCCATGAATCTTCCTTTCCTCATTTACAATGGGTATACTATTAATATCTACCTCAAAGGGTTGCTTGTGAGGATTGATAAAGACTCATAGAGGTTTAAGAAATTGCTCAGGATCTCCCAGTTAGTAAGTGATAGACCTGGAA